AAGAGGCCCCCAAGACGCCCCCAGGAGGCCCCCAAGAGACCCCCCAAGAGGCCCCAAGAGACCCCCTGGAGGCACACAAGATGCTCCAAGAGGCCTCGGCGAGAACGCCACATCATTGATTTCACGAAGGTTTTAGCCACATGTTGGCCTCTTGGGGGGGGAACACTGATTAAAATGACTCCAAGAGCGCCTGGGGGAGCCCAAGATGGATTCCAAGATGGCTCAAAATATCCCAAGATGTCTCATAATGGCTTCCTCCGTGTGCTGCCCACTTCCCCGATCCAGGCAATTCCTCTGGGCATCATTTCTGGATGGCCTGGCGGGGATTCGCGAAGCGCCAGCAATGTGTGAATATCTTTGTCTTGCCAGGGTGCAAGGATAAGCCCGCGTCCGCGGCGGATCTCTGGATGCCCGACAACATCTCCTTGATCTAGAGCAGGGTTGTTGCTACGGCTAATATGTCATCGGCGAAACGTAGATTGTTCAGCCTGTTGCTGCTTGTGGGATAGAATCGTAAGCCGTATTCCTTATTAGCCCATTCTTTCTTTTTTTGCATGATCCGAGGCAGTGCTCAAGCAACGCATTGAACAGCAATGAAGGCAATGGGTCGCCCTGTTTTGTCCCACGATGATCGTCGAACTCGTTGCTGACCACGTCTGTCCGCGCGAGTCGACGTTGGCCCGTGTAGAATGAACACAGAAATTGAACATATGATTCCGGGACATCCTGGCTGCGGAGCGCATCCCAAAGAGACTTGTGTCCAACAGTATCGAAAGCCTTCTTTAAAGTCTAGCGCACAAAACGAAAGGTTTGCTGGAATTGAGCCGCTTTTCCTGGATGCGCGACAAAAAAAATAAATGATCGATTGCTGAGAAGCCCGTCGGCAACCAACTTGACCGCGCGATTGCTCCGGACCCAAGACTTTCTCCAACCTTTGGTATAACAGTCTGGCGAACAACTTGTAAAGAATCGGGATTTACGAAATAAGTACATAGTTCCGTGGTCTAGTAGGGCCCCCACTTTTCAACAATACTGTCATGACGGTCGGCTTCCATTCGGCCAGAGTCGGGGTCCAAGGCGCGGTGATAGCGTTGTACATGTCCAGCACAGCACGTTGCACAGCTTCTCCACCGAATTTCAACATGTCTGCAACAATCCCAATGGTATCTGGCGCCTTTTCTGTCTTAAGGCGCTTGAGAGCTTGTTCAAATCCACTTGGGTGAATGGCGGAATAGATGGCGCTGGCAGACCATGCGCTGCTGCTTGCTCCGGTAGCACGTGTGTCGTAGCATAAAGATCGGCGTGAAAGTCGGCGGACACATTGGCATTATTGGTGCGGCTCGTGCGTTCGAGCCCACTTTTGTCATCCATCTTAACAATCATCTGTCGTCTCTTTCTTGTCTTTGCGGACTTGATATTCTTGAACCCATCGAAACTACTCAATGTGTGTTTGATGCGTTGTCTGCGCGACTCAGCTTTTATTTCTAGTCTTCACTTTGGTACGAATCTCTTTGCTGATCTGTGCGCGCCAGCTGCCGTTGCGATGTGGTGTCGAACGTCGTTCTTGTAGGAGCTCTCGTAGTGCAGCATCCCCTTCGGGTAGTATTGTCATCTGCACACGTCCCTGGTTTGATTCTTCTGCGCGCGACTCCTTGGCGCGCATCAAAGCAGATTCGATCTGAGTGTTGAAATCGTCAATGGTTGCGAACTCCGTTGACCCAGCCACCTTTTCAAACTGCTCAATGGCATGCCGTGCGAACCCACGTTTGTAAAACAATCCTGGCAGGCGGTGTCTCTGGCGGTGCTGCTTCTTCTCGCGTGGTTTTCTTGAGGACAATTTCAATGTAGTTCGCACCGGTTTATGGTCTGACCCCAAATCTGGTACGGTGCTGGAACCAGAGTTGGTCACGTAACGGCTCTTCGACTTGTCGACAAGTACAGAGTCGATCTGTCGCGGCTGCCCATTGCTCAAATTATGTGTGATTCGTCTCCCCGGAGGCTTGGAACAACAACGTGCTGGTTATGCTGAAGTCGAGCTGCCCACACCATTGTTTTACCCACTGCCCACGCCAAGCTTCAACACCAAATCCGTGAGGTCCAATCGTGTTGTCAAGATCGTCGGTAATGCGGCTTCCCACCTGTGCCTGTGCATGAAATCCCCACCAATCAGAAATATAGTGCGTCTTTTGGTCTCCAACTCTATTGTAGAAAATGCCGTGTATAGATTTTGCACCTCCGAATAATTCTATGCGCAGTATGGAAAGTAAGCAACTACAGCTCGTAAAACGTCTAATGCACATCTGATATCAACATACGCAATTCTCTCATTTGCCGGTGCAGAACCAAGTAACTTACACGATCAGTGCACGACTATGGCAACGCCTTTTCCTCCATCCAGTGCCCCAGCCGACCCTCCAAATATATGGCCCCGGTCGGTCGTGAAAAGCTCTGTCTTCTGCTCCCTCCACGTCTCTGTGAGTAACAAGACGTCCCACTTGATGTTTTCCACCTCTATCATCAGCTCCTCGATCCGGTCATCACTGGTAAGGCCTCTGGTGTTGAAAGAGATGAGATCGAAGTTTCGGTGTCCAGGAGCCGGTCACGATGATGCAAGCGTCGGTGGTGAGGTCATCGAGGAAAAAATTGATGAAGTAGTTCCTGTGGGTCGGACAAGGGTGGTTCCTCCGGGCGTCGTGCGAAAACCTAGCGCCTGGATCGGAAAGTCCCCTCCGACGTTACTGTATTTTCCTCTGCCGCCACCGCTGCGTAGGGGGAGCCAGCGGAGAAAAATAATCAATTGAAGACATTCGTGAAACACTGTTGGGCAATATGGGTTTCGCGCACTCCTTTGGAGTGCCGCCATCACTCGCTGTCAGTGGCTGGGTCGGGGTTGATGTTTGCCCTCCACTTTGCCATGGATGCTTCAACATCTTTCTCGACAATTTTTCTCACCGACGTAGTGCACCATACCCCGTCTTCGAAAAACCAGGCAACCTTTTTCCCCCGAATTGCAACCAATTCGCTGTGCCACCAAATCTTCACCTATTCCCCCTTGTACTTGGAGCCAGGGTTGTGGACGAGATGGTGTTTGGTATATCCCAATGTTTTCTCGTGTTCCCGTTCCTCCCTCGTCAAAGGGTTTTTGAAAAACTTGTCCCCTCTGATGTTCTTGTTATTTGGGTCCTGCACCTTCTTGTCAAAGGAGATCTTAGCCTTCCACTTCTTTAACCAAGCTGGAGGCAAGCCTACGGACCCCCGCTTCTGGACAAGCGCGCCCCCGAGACTGCATACTTTTCGTCGTCGGCATGGGCTGGGCTGGACGAGAAAGATGGAGAGAGGGTCGGGAGAAGTCATGCTCCTCCTCCTTTTTACAGTTGGCCGTACATGGGCGTCGTGGCTGTCTCGTTCTGGCCTCCTCCTCCTCCTCCTCCTCCTCCTCCTCCTCCTCCTCCTCCTCCTCCTCCTCCTCCTCCTCCTCCTCCTCCTCCTCCTCCTCCTCCTCCTCCTCCCTCCTCCTCCTCCTCCTCCTCCTCCTCCTCCTCCTCCTCCTCCTCCTCCTCCTCCTCTCCTCCTCTCCTCCTCCTCCTCCTCCTCCTCCTCCTCCTCCTCCTCCTCGAGTTCTGGTCCCCCTCCCAGTGTCCCCCCCCGCCCCGAGCGCGAGCGGGGGTGTTCACGCTGGAGGAGGCAAGGGATAGAGAGGGGGGGAGGTGGGGACGGGGGAAGTGCGAGCCCCCTCGCGTCGTGGAAACAACGCACAGGGAAAACTGTTGACAATTTTCGGCCCTTGGAGGGGGTCCCCTGCAGGGCCCCAGGACCGTCAAAGACTGGCTCAAGATGAAGAACCATCACCCGGGAAGGAGTGAAATGATCCAGGGGTCCACGTTCCGAAATGAACACGACCTCGCCGCAGGTCTGGAGGGGGCTGAAGGGGGGAAGGAAGATGGCTCCAGGGGGCGGATCGGCGGATTCACGAGGGCCCCCAACTGTGCTCATTTCATAGTTCTGGGGGACCTCAGAGGTCCGAAGCGAGGAGGGAGTGAGGGAGGGAGAGAGGGGAGTCGGGAGCGATGGATGGAGGACGGATGCGAGGGCGAGGAGGCACAACTCAGCGCGATGGTTTTTTGGAGCTCCGCGGCCGCCAGAGAAGGCCAGGGCCAAACGCCCGGCTTGCCGTGCCGCCCGCCGGAGCACCGCTGGACGGCCCTCCGCGAGGCCGAATTCTGGGAGGGGCGCCGGATGCGCTCTGCTCTGCGGCGGCGGAGGGCGAGGAGGCGGACTCCTCCTCCTCCTCCTCCTCCTCCTCCTCCTCCTCCTCCTCCTCCTCCTCCTCCTCCTCCCTCCCCCTCCCCCGAGTGGCAGCTGCACGCCTACACCAGCCCTGGCCAGGCAAGCCCTGGGCACCTGGATCGGTGTCGGCAGGCAGATGCGGGCGGCAGTGCAGTCGACCCGTGTGATGAGGATGCACGCTTCGAGGCTTTTCGAGCGGGGCGCGGCCAGCGAGAGTGGCCAAGGAGGGGCCGAAGGGGCAAGGATGCCAGGGTACCCTTGGAAGGTTGCCCACCCTTGTGATGCGGATTGACTGTAGATCTCGCTGCAAGGAATGCTGGGGCACAGTCTTCGTCGATCTCTGAAGGTCCCAAGGTGCCCCAGAGCTTCTGGGGGTACCTGGGGCCATCGGGGCAGAAATCATTGCCGTGGGGCACCTGCTGTCGGGCCAGTTCCGTCTTTGATGTGCCCACTGGAGATTCGCCAAGCTTGGCCACGAACGCATGCACGCCGGCGCTGAGCCCAGGACTGGCGAAAGGCAATAATCGGCGCGCAGGTGCGCGGCTGCCGTTCTCCTCGATGCCTCTCACGAGACTCGGCAGCCAACAAATACACAGGCGAAGGCACATCCAAGGGCGTCATCGTTCCCACCAGCATGCACACCGCTGTTGCTCCAGCCCGGTGGCTGTAAATCCACGGGGTCTCCCGGAAACGGCCCAAGATGGTGCGACAAGCTACTCCGTTGGGACCGTCACGTTCAGCATGCGGCGGATGTCCTTGCTCGAGGAGCCGATCAAGATAACAAACTGCGCTTGGGGCACCCATCCGCTGCTCTCGAGTACCCAGAGCGACAAGTCCCGCAGCGTGAACTCGAGGCTCACCTCGGTGTTCGTCCCCGGCTGCAGCAGGCCAGTCTTCTGGAAGCCCCTCAGCAGCATCGGGTACCCAGTGTCTCTGGGGAACTGAAGGTATGCCTGGACCACCTCCCTGCCCGCGACAGCGCCAGTGTTTGACACCGGCATCCGCACGCAGACGACAGCGTCGCAGTCATTCGAGCGCTGCTTCTCGTATCCGCCGCCGAGGAAAGCCTCTGGCTCGCCGTAGGCGAACGTCGTGTACGAGAGTCCATGGCCAAACGGGAACGCCCACTTGAACTGCGGCGAGCGGTAAGACGTCCATATTCCCTCGGCGTAGGGTACCATTTTGCTCTTGCTGGGGAGAATTTGATCTTCTTTTGAAGCAGGCATTGCGATCGGCAGCTTTCCCTCTGGCGTGCGGTCACCGAAAAGTGTAGCGGCCCACGCATGAGCCGTCTCCTCGCCAGCCAGGAACAGGTTCGCGATGGCGCTCACCCGGTCCCGCCACGGAGTCAGCACAGCGCCTGGTGTCTGCATGCACACCACCGTGGGCGCCAGCTCAGCGAACCTCGAGATGAGGCGATCTGCGTGGTCGTCGAGCGCCAGGGAGGTGCGGTCCATGGACTCGACCGCGGTGGTGGCTGCGAAGACCAACACGGCGTCCACCCCTAGGGCGACCTCGGACTCGGACATCGCGTCCATCGATTCCCGCGTCGTGTAGTTCACGACTTCGATGCCCAGTGCCTCGGCGCGCTCCTTGATTGCCTCCGCTGGGGTCAGCGGATCCACGCCGACGACCGCGCCGGAGCCGCCACCGCCGTAGTAGTCCGCGCTCGTCATCTTCTGGCAGGCCCAGTGCTCGTCCTTGCCCTTCTGGCCCTCCTCCAGCCGCGGCAGAGGGCACCTGGATGAGGCTTCGCCCCGCCTGGCGCTCGCGGGGAGACCCACGACAGCCAGCCGCTTCTTGGGGCCAGCGCGCAGGGGCAACGCGCCAGTGTTCTTCAGCAGCACAAGCGACGCGGTGGCTGCCTCTCCGGGTGGGGGGAGGTAGCAGGGGATCTGTCGACCCCCACGGTGGAGGCTTTAGATCAGGATACCCTCGATAAGGAACCCACCTCGCCTTGAAGAAATAAAGAAAGTGCCAGGGTCTGGGCCCCAGGAGGACGTTCCTTATACAGCGTCGCCGCCGCATATCAGGCTCTGGGAGGTTTTCGGGTGGACCAGCACCGGGGGTCCAACCCTAGGAGATACGATGGGGGGGCGTGCGTCCTCGACGGGAGTGCGTCCGAATAGCCTCCTTGTGGTGTGTTCCAGGGTTTCCCCCTTTTTGTTGGAGTGGCCGAATTTTTCAAGCGGAGCTCGGGGATTGGGGGAGAGAAACCGCCTGCGAGGAGAGGGGGTCGTGAAGGGGGGCTGCTGCAGCGAGACAGCTACACGCCAGATGTATCTCCCCTGCGCCTGGAGGCTCTGGAAGCGATCGTGGGCCATCCTGCACGGCACCAGAGGCCCTCTTGAGCCGTCTGGAGGTCCTTGGGGGCCCTTCTGGAATTCCCCTCGGCAGCCTCGGTCGGAGCCCTCGGAAGCCTTCCTGGGGCCATCTACTGATATATCAAGAAATAGCCATCACCTGCAGGCAGCAGCTTCCCTAACCCGATGTTTCCTACCCACCATCATTTCTGCCCCAAGACCGCTGAAATATATGATCCAGGGTTGCCCCCCCCATGCAATGCATATGGGACCCCGCCCCCCCACTGGATGGGTACGCCCGTCAGCCTCGCGAAGGCCTCGCGAATGGGATCGCCGTCCCCCTCTGTGGTCGTAAAGGGTGCCGGTGCACCCCCCCTCCTTTCCCCTGTGGGTGTGGGGTGGCTCGTCGTCGCCGTCATCGCCGCCGCCGCCGCCGCCGCCGCCGCCGCCGCCGTCGTCGTCGTCGTCGTCGTCGTCGTCGTCGTCGTCGTCGTCGTCGTCGTCGTCGTCGTCGTCGTCGTCGTGCGTCGGCGTCGGCGTTGGCGTCGGCGGCGGCGGCGGTTTCGGCGTCGGCGTCGGCGTCGTCGTCGGCGTCGTCGTCGTCGTCAGCGGTGTCGGCGTCGGCGTCGGCGTCGGCCTAGGCGTCGGCGTCGGTGTCGGCGTCGACGTCGGCGTCGTCGTCGTGCCCCCATCCCATGTGCGGGGGAGGGGCCTGTGGAACCCTTGGATCCATCCCATCTGAGGGGTAGTGGGCCTGTTAACCCTCGACCCAAGATCATCTATCCCCACACCCCCCCAGAGATGAATCCTGGCCAGTCTTTGATTCCGCGCCGATGTTTTACAGTCCCGAGCGTGAAACATGTGTCAAGGTAGCGTGAGAGAGAGAAAGAACAACAAAAAACAACAAAAAACGATAGAGAGAGAAAGAAAAAAAGAACAACAAAGACCCAAATCGTTAGGGTGACAAACATATAATCCCGTCTATTGCATTGACACCACGATTCCCAAATCACCCCCGTTCCCAAAACACCCCCTTCGCTCTCACCGAGCCTCACGGGCCAACGCCGTGTGCGCCTCGCTCCGGGCGTTGGCGAACTTCATGCTGGTGCACGGCTGGGCGCAGGAGACCGCCTCGCGGTTGAGCCCGAGGCGGTAGACCTGTGGGCACAAGGGCACCGATACCGCTACTCCCCGACCTCCCGGGGTGCGTTCACACAGGACTTCGAGGAACATCCCGCCGTGGCGATGAGGGCTCTCACGGACGAGCGGCGGTGTCGACATGTTTGCCCTCTTTGAAGACCGACGTGAGGATCTCGCCGGCTGCCTCGGCCAGCCTCACGGGACCAAACTCGCTGAACTTCGCCAGCTGGAAATGCTCGGGGGCGCCCACGCTCATCTCCTGAGACAGGCCGTGGACCATGTCCATGGACGAGTGCGTGGCCTTCCAGCCGGACATCACGAAGCCCTTGAAACCCATGGTATCCCGCAGATCTCGCTTCAAAAGGTCCGAGTTGCCGCAAGCGTAGGAGCCGTTGACCATGTTGTCCGCCACCGGCGACTTTGGCACGGACCAGAGCGGTAGAATGCCAAGTCCTGCCTGGTAGAGTTCCGTCTCGATGCCTCTCAGGCCATTCTAGGATGCCCAAGAAGGCCCAGCAATGCCACCGCGATGCCACCAGAGGCTTCAACGACGATCCAAGAGGGCGAAATATGCCTCGAGAGATGCCCAAGAAGGTCCGAGGAGATGGCCAAGACACACGAAATCATTGAAGGATCGACTGAGTTTCTCTGCTTTTCATGTTTCCAAACTGTTTCGACCCAAGATGGACATAGGAATACGCGGCAGGACCCCGGGACAGCAACGGAGCGGCCCAGCTCATTCCCACGACGAGAAGGCCCAAAAAGGACTCAAGAGGGATCCCTCAGGGGCCCAGCACGGCCCACGAGGTCGCCAATATAGCCCAGAAGAACCAATATAGGGAAGCGAGCTCTGTACACCGACGATTTTTCCGACCCTGCGCTGAAATTCGCACAGGAACGCGGATCCTGGTGTATACGGGATCCGTGTGTATACATTTTCCGTTGTTTCCCTTGGAGAACGGGGGAAAAGTATACACCACATCACCCCGACGTCGTCCCCGACCCTCAAAAAGTCGTGGGATTGAGAAACAATCCGCCACTGGTAATGTATATGTTCCAGTTTCCGACAGCAGATGGCGCCAGATGCACCCCAAAACTGCCGACGAGGGCCCCAAGGTGGGACAGGCCTCGCGGAGCTTCCGAGAGGCCCCGAGAGGTCCCCCAATTAGGCTCCCAAGGACGCCACCAGGGGCAACGGGACGCTCCCAGAGTCAACTTAGTAACCGTCCCGTCTTCTCCCCTCGTCGTTCTCGCCCTGTCTCTGTCTGTATGTCAGTCTGTTTTTGTCTCCCTCTCTCTCTCTCCTTTTCCCCCGCTGCTATGTTCGGATCCTCTCTGCTATTTAGGACCTTCTCTCCTCTGCTCTGTTAGGAACTTCTCGCGTATCCTTCTACACCTCCTCTGCTATGTTGGGACCTTCCCTCGGCTGGAAGCAGACTGTTACATGCCATGGCCCACACGGATGTGGGAATAGAGGCGCCACATGCCAAGACTCCTTTCTGGGCCCTGAGGGGTCCAAGCACTTCTCGCATATTGCAACCCTATCGAGCTTACGGAAGGACGTGTTCCATGTCACGAGGCCTCCGAGCCTCGAGGCACAGAGCGCTGCGCTGGCACGGTGGTTGAGGTTGCCGCAGGCATCTGGATCGGCGCACATGAAAGCCCCCACACCGGACTTCACCGCAGTTTCAAACGGTGGGTAATAGAGATTCCAAGCAGTCGCAGCATCGACGTTAGAGCTCCCCTTGTACCGGTTCGTCTCCTGCTCGTTGAACGCAAAGTGTTTGGCGACTGCGAGCACGCCCTGCCGCTGCACCGCACGAATGTACGGCGCGGCGAAGCGCGACCCCAAGTATGGGTCCTCCCCTGCCATGTACTCGAAGTTCCTGCCGTTCATCGCGACCCTGTGCACATTCAGCGACGGCCCCAACAACACGTTGGCGCCCTTCTGCTTGAACTCCGAGGCTATGGCGGCCGCCGTGCGCTCGATGATATCCTCGTCCCAGGTCGCGCCGAGCGCCAGCGGAGAAGGCCAGTGGGTGGTCGTGTTCCACTCCTCCTCCTCGATGGGGCGGTAGCCGCTGCTCGAGTCCTGCATCCGCAGGGCCGGGATGTCGAACTTCGCGAGCGGCTCGGTGTTGCCGACGTAATAGTGCTTCTCGAGGTTATGCGAGCCCGAGACCAGGAGAAGCTGCTCCTCGGGGGTCATCTGGAGCGCGATCGATGTCGCCCTCTCGGACGCCGCCTGCCAGCTCATGGCGGCGTGCTCCTTTGATCCGCAAGAAAAAACAACGCCTAACCGTTCTGGAGGGAACCTCAGCCAGGAGGGCCACAATCATTAGCGATAGGTGTTTCTTTTCTGCATGTGCACCGAACCAGACCGCCCAGACTTCTCACCCCTGACGCGAAGACGGGGACCTGAACGTGAGGCCACGCCTTCCTCGTGCTGTTGGGGGTCAGGGGCCCCCTTGCTCCCGATGCTCCTTGGCGTCGGCCCTGTGCGCCTGCTCGTGCCGACCCCAGCCGAACAGCCACTGCCAGACGGACTCCCCGTCGCTGCCGCTGCGCAGCGCGCTGCCGCTGCGCACCCCGAGCGCGCCGGCCCCCCGCAGGACGCACGCCACCGCGAGCGGGCCCAGGGGCCCAGCCCCTGGCCGACGGGGCCACCGGCGCGGGCCGCCTCCCGCAGCGCACATCGCGCCACGTGGCGTGCCTCGAGCTTCGTGCAAATAGCCGGTGGCGAGCGACCAGGGGGAGCGAGGATTGAGCAGGGAGCGACCGTCCCGGCATTCCTGTAGTCCTACCACGAAATGTTCTTAGAACCCAACAATGATCTTAGAACAGAAACAATGTTCTTAGAACATTGACCCGATGTGTGAAAACAAGACAGACTCCGCCAGAAATGTTCTAAGAACATCTCGTGGCAACCACACAAGGTTCTCAGAAAATTGTTCGGTAGGGCTATAGGCACGCCGGGACGCTTCGCCACTGCTTGAGAGGAGGGGGCGGGCCTGCTCAGAAGGCTCGGGGTTCCCCCGGCCTTGCGGAGAGTGTGCGGAGCCGCCCCCGGAGGCACAGGAAGCTTCGCGGAGGGGGCGCGAGGCGCCGCACTTCCGAGAAGGCCTGCTTCTGCTCGGGCCCCCCTCCCCCGTTGCCCGCCGCCAGAATATAGGATACGGTAATCGCCCGTGGCAGCCACCTGCGATTGGGCGGGTGGGCCTCAGGCTGCCAGGGGAAGCATCGCAGGTTTCAGCCGGCCGGGCCTGTGCCGAAACGGCTTCTGCGCGCACGGGCGGTGCCCAGACGAAGAGTGTCCACACCCATGGCGGTGAGGCGATGCAACATGGTAGCAACCACAACTGCGAGATGCCCTCGCTTCGCACCCCGCCCCCCAAACCCAAAAGAGAAGTGTCCACATTTTGTCCCTGGCCTTTGGCCTACCCCCCAAACCGTCAACTTTGAATTTTCTGGAAGGGGGGTATACATTTTGGTCCGACGTGCTCTGACAACTCAAGGTCTTGGCGAGACACGTGTGCACACTCTTGGTCCACCCACTGGAGGTCGAGGGAGGGTGAGAGGCGGGAGGGAGCGCGAGCCGGGGCAAAGGGTGGGGGGCGAGGATCAAAAGCAGGGGGCCGAGGAATGGGGGCCCAGATCTTCAACGATGCCATGCGCTGAGTCGCTGGCCCCTGCGGGCCTGTCCCCCAGGGGGCATCCCGAGCCGCGGGCCGACGATTCCTGCAGGGCCCGCCAGCGGCCCCTGGAGGCCGAAAGGGGCGAAGAACCTCTGCGGCGGTGTGTCTCGCACCGCTGGAGATCTGGGGAGGAGGAGGAGCGGGAGGAGGAGCTGCGATGAGTAAGCTGGCAAGGTAGACCTGTCGTCCTCAGCACGGGCTATGGGGGAAGGGGGAGGGGCAAGGTAGATCTGACATCCTATCCATCTCACCTACCTTCCCATTGCGCTGTTTTTCCCCTCCTCCGCCAACAGGTGTCATAGCGGACGTGGAACCCCCAACAGGACATCATCGTGTTATGCGCTATCAGAATAGGGAGTTTGCGTATATTGGTTAACAAGCAGGGTGAGCTGGAGGCAGAGCAAGAAGAGAGGTAATAGGACGAGGGAGGGAATAGGACGAGGAGGAACAGCAGCAGCAGCAGGAGCAGGGGTGGGAGGAGCAGGAGGAGCAGGAGGGCCAGGGGAGCGCGGCGGAGGGGAAGGGGAGCGGGGAGACAACGATGAGGAAGACATCAGATCCCCCCAAGTGGCCCGCGCTGGGGCGAGGGAGCCATACTGAACGGCGGGAGCAACGCGCCGATGCCAAAATGAGACGCGCGCTGCAGCGGGAGCGCCATTTTTGAAATACTGAGCCGGCTCCGATTGAAAGTCAGTTCCCGAGACACTGCTTCTCGGGTCGGGCGAAAGGGGGGGATAGCAAAGGGGGGGTTTGAGAATCAGCTCACGTAGCTGATTTTCCCGGCGCGCCCGGCGCCGGAGGCGCCCATGTATCGAGGAATGGGCCCGGCGGCGGGGCCGAAACCAGCTACATGCAGCAGATTTCGTAACCCCCCCTTTCCCAAACCCCCCCTTTCGCCCGACCCGAGCTTCTTACAGGCGCGGGCGTCGGTCTGGCAGGCTTGTTGTCGCCCTCGCCGCCCGGCGCCACCGTCCGTCGCCGCTGCTTCTGGGCCCGCGTGTCGATCGCCGCGCTCGGTGTCGCCGTCGCCGCCCGTCGCCGCCCCGTCGCCGCCCGTCGCCGTCGCCGCCCGCCGGCACCGCCTCTTTGCACCCCCAACCCCGCTGCATTCCGACCAGACGCAATCGATGGCAATCGATTTCAAGAAATTCATTCGATTGCGATTGCAAGCAATGAAATCTATCGAATCGCAATCGAACCGACGCTATTGCAATCGACTGTGCCACATAGATTGCACCACATAGCTTGCGCCACACATATCGAATCAAGCAGATTGCATTACATCATATGTAACACGAAGCAGCCCATTGTTTACACCGCGGAACTCGCACCACAAATGCAAATTACATACGTTTCTGCCCCATCGCCCATGATAAAAATGAACTCATACCATCCCAAGCAGGCCGATACCGGCTCCCCACTCATCCTCTGCAAAACTACTATGCGCGCAAACTCGTTTATCACGAATCATCACTTTGCAAGAGCCCCTTGCGAAACATTGAACGAAGCACACACGGGCACGCCGTCGCGCGCGCACGCCGAAATCCATCATCGCGTCTACCGTTGTCGACGTTGCCCACGCCCGGCCAAGTCACCGATTCGCACTGAAGTGCCCGCTGGGACGTCCACGACGGGGAGCGCGAACGCGGCCGCGTTGGCCGTTTTGCGCGCGAGCATGCGCGCTGGCGCGGCCGCGGCGATGCGC